TTATTATCACATTTAACCCCAATGAAGCATTATGGTGAGAATACTAGTACTTTTTATTAAACTAGGCTCTTTTAAATATGCAAGCATGCCCTTATACAAGTGACCTACTAAATAAGAAAATATGCTATGAAAAGGCATGAACCCTTCAGACAACATGTCCACGCTTCATTGCTTATATAATAGCATTTGATTCCCCTCCCAATCCAGCATCGTTCTTAACCTGTCTGGTGACTAAGTTCTCAAGGCATTTAATATAGGATTTAAACATTAATATTAGGATAGGTTAGCATCAAAGTCACTGAGCTTTCTGGAATGACATGTGACATCCTCCAGTGATGGACAAATGAAGGACCAAGAAGAAATTGCACTTTGTAGGTAGCATAAACAATTTTTGACTTCCAGTGGGAGCAAAGAATTCTAATTTAAATAGTTTAAATGCAGGCACTACAAGCTCACGTTGCAGAGAGAATCACACTTCTATATAAGCAGTCTTAGCATTCATGTTCATGCCCACCCCCATCCTGCACACAAAACCCCTTTTCTACTTTCGTTGGTGACATGAATCTCCTTTCGTGGACGACTGAATAACAGCGTCGAATCAGCAGCATTCAGGCACTGGAAACTATGTGCAATGAATTGAGCCCTGGGGCTAGAATAACCTACAAATTATTTCCATAATCATGGTTGATCTCCCTTGCTTTAACCTCACCCCCTACACACATAGGTTCCTTTCAAATACAGCCCCTCTAGAACTATGTGGATTACAATAAGTAGAAGGTAGAAAATGCCCTCATGGATCTCCAACAGCAGTAATTTCCTCTGAAAAGGTTCATTTTGTGCTCTATCCCACGTAAGAAGCATAAAAATTTTCACCATAACAAGAGGACACAGAGGTTTTCATGAATAAGGTCCTATGTTGCCAGAAAATCATTTTATTCAATGTGAACTCCTGATTATTTTGATTCTAGTAGCAATGTTTAGGCCAAGAAGGTCTTTTCAAATGGAATTCATATTAAAGTAAGTATGTAAAAAGAAGAGTTTCCTGAAATAGATAAAATTGTCATCCAAACTGTGTAGTAAGTCCAGAACAGCCAAAATTAAGTTATGATTTAGAAATATTTCCTAGGAGTGCTTTAATTCTAAGGATGCAAAAAAGTTTGGTCACCAATTCTTGCCTATATTCTTCTTAGGGTACACTGTGATAATAATGAGATAGAAACTACACTTAGACAATAAGAGGCTTTGTAGAAAGAGGGATTTGATTTACCCAGCCCTAATTATCAATAGCTATGCTACCAATTATTAGCCTTGGTAAATCTCAGTTTTACAAGTGGAGTAACCAATCTAGATCAATAGGTTAAAATCTGGGTACCCAGATTTACCTGCAGTAAAAATTAAATGTGACTAACATTGCCAAACACTTTCAAGAGGGTGGCATACAATCATGAGCTCATAAAAGACAGGCACTGATGTCACAGAGATATTATTGTTAGACTAATTAGACATCTCCTCACTTGCAAGATTTCCAATTAATTTTTTTAAAGATTTATTTATTTATTTTTACAAGAACAGGGGTACAGGCCAGATGCGCGGGAGGATGAGATGATTCACCAGAGACAGAGTGGGGAACAGAACAGGCAGACTGATGGAAATACATTGCTGAGGAGAGCAGCGGGCACAACAGGAGAGGTCTGTAGCACCATGTGGGACCCTCGTTGGCTGGCCAGGATTGAACCGGCACTGCAGAGGCTGCGGACAGCTTCACAGCGCTGCACTCAACCGCCTGCACCACCACGGGAGGCCCACATTTCCAATTAATTAATACAAAGTTATGCCAGATGTAGAAAAACAATGGTTTTCATGACTCAGTTCATATAGATTTTTCAAATAGGAGACACAAAGCTATACCTATTAAAGAAGACTTGAAAAATGATACCACATTAAAATTTAAGTTTCAATATAACAAAGGATACCTTTAAGAGAGAAAAAGCAAGCCCCAGAGTGGGTAAAGATATTTGCAATTCAGACTCAACAAAAGAGAAGATAAACAATATATGTAAAGAACTACCATGATGATTACAACAGAGAAAAACAGAGAGGAAACTGAAATAAGTACTTCACAAAAGATGATACTGAAATGGTCACAAGCCATGGAAATAAGCTCAACTTCATATTAGTAACATAAAGGGGAAAAATTTTCTGAGAATTGTCCAAGTATGAAGAACAATGATGAAGAACAATGATGAAGAACAACTAGAATTTTCCTAGGTTGTTTGTGAAAACAAATTATTCCAATCATTTGGAAACCAGCAGTTTCTAATAAATCTAAATATAACATGACACAGCAATGCCACTTTTAGGTATATACCAACAGAGATGTGGACAAATCATCCTGAACACAGGTATACGAAGTTCTCATAATAACATTGCTCATAATCCCCCCAAACTGGGATCAACCCGAATGTACTTGTAGAGGGGCTGCTATAGGTCGTGGACATCCTAAAGTTGTTGCAACTTATCCCTATTACACGGCATAATTATTAATAATGCCTCTGTAACTCTCAAAATTGTCTAGCTTCTAGAGTGTTTTGTTGAGTTCATTCACAGTCTGAGAGATGTGTGGGACACCAATAAGGACATTAACACAAACACAATGGGAGACCAGGAAACAAGAGAGAGAAATGGTCAGGAAACCATTTGAAGAAATAATAGCTAAAAGCTTCCAAGTATGATGTATACTCACATACCTACACATCCAAGAGTTCAATTAAGTATAGGTAGAATAAAATGAAAGAAATCAATACCTAGACATACAACCAAACTGTTTAAAAACAAACTGTTTTAAAAACCCTAAAGTAGCAAAAGGCAGCTCATCAATACAAGGAATCTTCCAGATTAAGAGGAGATTTCTCATCAGGAGCTACAGATATTTTCAAATAAGAGTGTAAATCAAGAATTTTATATCTAGCAAAACTACCCTTTCAAAAATGAAGAAGAAATATGGACATTCCTAGATAAAAAATGGTCCTGGCTTGGAAGATAACACATGTTCACATTATTTAACTAGTAGGCTGCACATGTGTATGTGGGGGAGAGGGTGGCCTGGAGGGTGCTAAAGCCATCTATTCCTTATTCTGGGTGGTGGTTAGACTGGCATTGTATTACTTCATCGAACAATATGTTTATGTTTAGTGCTCTCTTCTTTATGTGTTTTACATCACAAGTTTTAAAAATGAAAAACAGATGGGTTTTGTCAGCTAACAAAATTACCATTTTATTTTTCTTACTCTAACTTCAGGGACCAATCAAATGCAGAAATGTGGTGAGTTAAACTATTACCCTCTTCCACACCTTTGTTCCAACTCTCTCTTCTGCATGTAACAGTCTTACTGTCCACTTCACACAATTCATCCCTACTCTTCTTTTAAAATTCACTTCCAGGCACAGAAACAAAGATCTGTCTCTTGTATTACATATGAATACATTCAAAGATAGGAAGTGTGTCAAAATCTTGTTATTCTGAAGAATTAGTGCATAGCACATAGGAAAAATGGAATAAAAGTTTGCGAGTTCATGCTTTGCTAGAATAAATGAAGTTGGGCCTCCCTGGTGGCTTAGGGGTTAAATCTCAGCACTGTCACTGGGATGGCCTGAATTCAATTCTTGTCCATGGAGCTAACCCACTTAGGGTGCAGCAGTGTCTCACCCGCTTCTCCACTGAGCAGTGTAGTTTACTAAATCTGCCTGTTCTGCTCCCCACTCTATCTCTGGTGAATCCTTTCATCTCCTGCACCTCTGGCCTACACCCCAGTTCTTTTGTGTGAAAATAAATAAATAAATCTTTTTTAAAAAATAGAATAGAATAAATGAAAAATAGAATAGAATAAATGAAACCTTTCTAATTAATAGCACGGGTATCTGGAAAAGTGGATCACAACTGACCAAACTCAAAGGATTCCCTATAAAGGCAACAGTTAACCTTCAAGTGATTAGCATTTTTTTTTTAAGATTTCTGCAAGTAAATCTTTTTTTTTAAATAATAAATTTTATTTTTGTATTCCCCATACAATTGCAACCCCCCCATTCCCATTTTGACCCCAATCCCTCCCCTCCCGCCCCCCACCCCCCAAAAAGTGTCTCTGGTTCATAGTTTTTTGTTGATTTTGATTTTCACTCTCTTATAGTTATTCATTTTCCTGTTCGCTTGGATTAGCATTTTTTAAATACATTTAACAGTCAAATGTCAAGAACATTGGGTAGAGTTTTTTTAAGATGAGGAAGAGAAACCATTTGGGTATATCTGGTTATTTCTGGAATGTCATTATTTTACCTTATGAGTAATATCGGAAAAGAACATATTATGATAAAAAATTTGACAGCTCAAATCAAGTCTATATTAAGGAGTTCATGATCGCTTTTCTAAAGGGCTACACAAAAGGTATAAAGATTACACTGAAAAATCCTTCAACCCATAGGAAGCACAACAAAGCTTCTCAAACTCAGTACACCCCCGCCTGGCCTCAGGTTCCTGTAGAAATGCTCTGGGTGGGGGCCTCCCTGGAGACCTAGGGGTTGAATCTCAGCACTATCACCACTGCAGCCTGAGCTTGATCCCTGGCCAGGGAGTTAACCCACACGTGGCACACTGCTCCCCTTGGCCATGTATTTCAGTCAATCCACCTTTTCTGCTCCCCACTCTGTCTCTGGTGAGTCCTCTCACCCCCACCCCCCACCCCTCTGGCCTACAACCCAGTTCTACACACACACACACACACACACACACACACACACACACACACACACACACACACACACGGCTCTGGGTGAATTCAATCATTCCTGGAATTCAGGATAGCTGTTAACTTTGTCATGCATCATTTCTGTTTATCTATTGAGTAAAGGATAAATCCCACCACTAACAGAAGAGGGTGAGGAATATAAGCAGGAGAGGACAGTATCTGGTAAGAGACTGGAAATGCCCTGCAACGTGGCCAACAAACCTGAAAAAGGAAGGCGTCGCCCAGAGAGTTGCTGAGGCAGAAGACGAAGTCCTTCTTGGGGTGCTCGGGCACTGCCTGTACGATGCTGTTCTCCACCCATACAGCGTGCTTGGGGATGCTGTTGTGGTCGATTCCGGACCGGCCATCATTCTCGTAGAAGAAGAGTGTGCACCCTGAGCAGACAAAACAGGGGTGTGCATGAGAATGTGGCGCTTAAACAGCAGAAAGTCTGCAGTGGGAACTGGCTTGTCCCTCATCACAGAGAAGAGCTGGAGATTAAAGCGTGAAATCACAGGAAGGAGACAGCATGGGGTCACACCTGTCCTCAAGTTTTGGACAGGCTTAGAAAAAAAGCTAAAGATTCTGAAATCCTAGCCTCTCAGCACTCAAGGGGCTCCTTCGTGCATGTCCTCATGTTCTTCAAGAGCTTGACTTTCTGTTTTATTTAGAGTTTTCTCTTCATGGGCCCAGGGGCGTCTTAGGGCCCCACAGGCAGTCAGTTTCATAGGTAAGTTCTGTGGTGCTGTGTAGGGACAGGTGGCAGCACTGCTGCTCTGGAGCCCCCTCCCACCACACCTCACGAGACATGCATGAGAAATGCAGTTTACTGCGTTTCTGGACTATGCCCTGGGGGGAAAACAACATATAATATTGGCATTAGGTATGTTAGGGGCAAGGTAAGACATGATAGATTTTTAGTCTCAGATTGTTCCTATAAAATGTCTCTCTAGGGCCTCCCGGGTGGGTAGGGGTCAAGTCTCAGCACTACAGCCTGAGTGCGATCCCCAGCCAGGGAGCTGACCCACATGGCACAGCAGACCTCTCATCTCGTCCGCTGCTCCCCTCAGCAGTGTGTTTCAGCAGATCTGCCTGTTCTGCTCCCCACTCTGTCTCTGGGAAATCCTGCTACCCCTGTCACCTCTGGCTTATACCCCAGTTCTTCTACACAAAAATAAAATTAAAAAAAAATGTTTTTCTAGCAATAAAGCATATCCTTGTCCCTACTGGAAGAGAAGATGCAAGGCTCACATGGGAAGGCCTGCAGGAAACTGGGGCCTGGTCCACACTTGACAAATGTGACAATAACGCAGTGGCAGTAAGAAGTCTTGGACAGATTTGCTACCAAGTGGCTTCATAAATACCCTCCATTGGCCTAAATGTGAGACTCAGCCTAACAGCCATTACTAGTTGAGCTCTTCCTCCCCATTAACTGAGACCCACTGCCAGGCACGTCCAGGTATGACTTTTTGACTCTCAACTCCAACCTAAAGCGACTCTGTCCACGTCTTCCTCACCACATGACACAAGGGCCACAGACTCAATTCCCAAGCCCCAGTCAGCGACCATGGGACCTCCATAGAGCAAGGCTGTGCTTAGTAAAGGAGAAAGATGTGACTCCGTGGAAGAATCACCTTCCTTCAAAGGCAAGTTCCCCAATCCTTAACATTTCACCTCAGCTTTACAGAGCTGGTGCAGGCAGCGTCCTGTCCTGGGCTAGCTGCAGTGCACAGCGCACAAAGCTCAGGCTCCACGAGGCTCTGCCCTGGTGCAGCAACCTCAGCCTTGATTAAACTCCCCACCGCAGGGTGTCCGGTGCTGCCTGATGCTGTAATTGCTGCCTTGTCCACATAATTCAAGACTCTCCATTCTTCCTGCTGTCCAATCAAGTTATATTCACTTTTGTCTTAAAGTTGATGCCTTACGTTTTCTGCGATGGTCACTGTTTATGTTTTCTGTGATGTTCTCTGGTTCGGAGACTAAGATGGTAACTAAGTATTACAGTATTTTTTTTGTTTTGTTTTTTTACTTCTGAGTTCAAAAGTGGCCAACCTATAATTTAATTAAAGATCCACTCTACCCCAACCCTATTTTTCTCACAATCCCTGTTATTTTGAAGATCTTGGGTTGTTGCAAGAAAACACACATCACATTGAGATCTCATCTGTACCTCCGAGTTCTCGGTCTCGACCTAGCATAGATTTGGAGATAAATAGATTTTAAAATACAAAAGGGGGTGTTATTTTCCCCAAATCAGAGGTTCTGTAGGGGGGATGGCAATTTTGTCCCAGGGAATGTGTGGTGATGTCTAAAGACCTTTTTGGTTGTCACCCTTGTGTGTGTGTTGGGGGTAGGGGGAGTACAAGGGGGATCAGGTCCAACTGGCAACTGGTCAGAGGATATGGATGCTGCTAAACCAGCCACACTGCCCAGGCAGGAGAGCCCCCCAACTACCTGGAGTTATCTGGAAAATGTCAACAGTACCCGATTGTGATTACAAAACCCGCCTAAATAAACTTTATGATTAATGATTTGTAGATTCTTAACAAAAAAGGGGTAACTCAAAATTGCTCAATAACCACAGGATGAGAACAGAATAAAGCTTAGGATCCTGACTTGGGGACACCCACAAATCCGAGGTGTGCACACGCTGAGCATTTTAAGGTCACCCCTAATTGCTCTTTTTATGACTTTTCAAACCTTGGTTTACCATCACCCATGTCTCCCTCTAGCCATCTGCTTGTTCCAATAGGAAGATAAACGTGAAGCAGCAAACCCAGAAACTGCAAATTCACTGAGCATTATTGCTATGCCCTTCAGCTGTCCATGGACAGACTCCAGAGACTAATTCAAATGAAATCTTTTTTTTTTAATTAATTATCCTATCTAAAGTAAAAAGAAAAAATCTTTGGAGAAATGTCTATCCCACCAGGTGCTCTGCTTTTTGCTCCTCAGGATCCAAGGATTGCTACGAAGTCAGCAGCAAATCCTGCTTTTGACTGTCAAGGACAGGCCTGAGTCCATCAATATGTAAGGGGGACCATCAGGATTAGGAGGCACAGGACTCAGTGGCTCCATGTTCTAGGCCTGGATCCAACACAGGTTGTGTCACCCAGATCTGGGGCACCAAGGAAGTGAAGGAGCTGCCATTGACAGGCTCATGAGCTGTGCTTCTGAGCCCCCCACCCTTACTTCCTGTACTGTTTATTCTCTAAGAGAATAGCAGAAACAAAACAGCCCCCATCTCCATGCCCCAAGTCAAAAATCACCTAATTATTTTTATTCTAGGCTACTATTCTCAAATCTAGTGTAAGCATCACCTGGGAAGCCTGTTCAAATTACAAACTCTGGGCCTGCTGTGGATTAAATTATGCCCCCCCCCCAATTTCTAGGCTTAAGTACTAACCCAGAATGTGGTTGTATTTGGAGATAAAGTATTCAAACAGCTAATTAAAGTAAAACGAGATCCTATGGGCAAGCCCTAGCCAATCGGACTGGAGTCCTTATAAAGAAGGGGGACTTTGGACAGAGACAGACCCAGACACAGAGAGAGAACCATATGAAGATCCTAGAAGAAAAAAAGTCATGTTTTAGGTCCAAGAGAAAGACCTCATACCTTGACCTTGGACTTCAAGGATCCAGGAATGTGAGGAAATGAATTTCTTTTGCTGAAGCCACCCATTTGATGGTACAGATAAGACAAGGCCTAGGTCCCACCTCCAAACTTTGGAGTTGGTGCAACCCAGAAAGTACCCCAGAATTCTGAGATGTGGGTGGTCTCCTGACCATTCATGCTAAAATCTGGCTCTAATTAAAGTGAGAGACCAGAGAGGCTGCTAGAGGGCACAGAGGTTGTGGTACTTGTGGTGAGCACATCTTGGGGAGGAGCAGGAGGTGGGAGAAGGCCCCCCTTTATCCTGTCATTCTGTCCCCCACAGCACAGCAGGAGGCAGAATTCAGACCCTCTCAGACATGATGACTCTGCAGCACCTCATATTCAGCCACAGCAAGTCACACTTGAAAGAGAAGAGCAGCAGCTCTACTGGGCTCCACAGATGAACATCTGTGCTTCTTGAGCAGGATGACCCCCCCCCAGTACAACAAGGTGCATGTGTGCAAACTGACAGGACTTTTATCAAATTTCACACTCCTACTTCATATGAGTTAAAATTTTAGTATACACTTCTTAAGTATTATAATGCGGTATTTAATTTGGCATAGAAAACAAAACTTGGCATTTACTATCAATATGTCATGTGGTTTTCCACAGAAAACATAACAAAGGCCAGAATTCTACTTCTTGTTCAAACTTCAAAATCCCTAAGGCTGACCTTCAGAATGAGAAAAGGATGTGAAAAAGAACCAGACTCTAGTTCCTAAGACATTCTTGGAAGTGGATCAAGGAGATGTAATAATCTAGCATGTCTGGAAATGAAGAGAAAAGATGGTAACCCCACCTCCCAAAGGCAGCTTCATTGGGTGTGTAGCAGTAGGGGCAACTGCCTGAGCCCCTTGACAACAGAATACAGTCATCTGAGGCCATTGGTGTCTTCCCAATAAGCATCCCTTTTCTGCAGTCATAGACCAGCCATGTTCGCTAGGCCAAGGCCACCCAAGAGAAAGGCAGCCCTGCCTGCCTCCCTTGCAGCTACATGTAACCCACCTCTAGCCAATGGGATGGAAGCATAGTGATTCAGCAACTTCCAGATGTTCCCTCAGGACAGAGGAAAAACCCCTCCAATTCCCCATTTATCTGCATGGCCCCATTTACCTACATGGCCCCATTTACCTACATGGCCCTGGTGGTGGCTACCTTAACCAATGAGACTAAGAGAATGCTCTAGAAATAGTTAGGCAACAAAGTAAAAGAAGCCTAGTTCCCTTGATGATTTCACAGAAAAAAGAGTCACCATACCAACCTTAGATGATCCACATGGGCAGGTGGGAAGGGAATAAAATTCTATCTTGCTTAGGACACTGTCACTGGGGGCTTCTGACACATGTGGCCAAATACAGATTCAAATTAACATACTCCCTTTCTGTTCCACCAGGCATTGAAGCAAGAGGTGGCACCACTAGTACTGGAGACCACCCAAATCCTGCTTGTCCCTGGGGGTTGGCCTGTGCACCCCTTCAGAGCTCTAGGGTGTTCTATGCTGCTGGGATTGGATACTCCACACCAGCCACACCTGGTGAAATCCAACATGGAAGGGCCAGTGTGTGCAGCCACCAATCAGCCCTGCCTCTTCCTTCTGGGGGTGTCCCTCACACCTGTTCCCCTTGCTCACCTATCCTGATATACCCAAATTTTGCTTCAAATCCAGCTGTGATAGGAAGCCTACATGGACTTGAAGTGGTTTTCTTTTTAAGACACAGTATTCACAGATGAGTTATAACTTCTATATGACAGGGCAGAGGCAGACATGTGGAGTGCGTACGTGACTCAACAAGGTATGCAAATGACAATGGACAGACTCGAAGTATTATGCTTATTCATGATAACACCAATCTACACATGCATTATACATCTATATGCATGTTCCCACATATGAAGTGTGATTCTGAAAGTGACTGCTTCACAAATAAATGATGGCTTAGACATTCCACAAAGCATTAGGTTGAACCTTGTGGAATTTGTGCTTTTTATCTTTTTTAACCTGAAAATGGCAGTTTCCAGGAAACTGGGATTCAAATGAAGGATCTTCCCTCCCAAACGTAATTGTGGGAGGGATTTGACTAACAGGCATGATTCCCAAAAAGCATTTTGTAAATTGTCCTTTAGAACTGTCATCAAAACTGGTTGTATCTAGGAGAAAACCAGACCTCGATCATGATTGTGAAAAAAGTAAAGAAAATAAAATAATGGGGTGGAAAGGGGTGCAGGGGAAGGGGGGAGTTATTTACTGATAAAGAGACAGAAAGTTTTAGTTAAATAAGATGATTAAGTGCTAGAGGTATACTGTACACAGAGTGCCTAAGTCAGCAGCAATGGAAGGTACACTTCAAAATTTGTTAATTTTTCTACACTAATATAGTAATTTTCTTGTTCATTGCTTTTAACTATGATTTTATTGCGGTGATACTGATTTACCCCATGTGGATGATTTATGGCTACAGGTTCACGACTCTTCAGGGGCAGGTTACCCGTGCCACGCCCATCGAGCCACACCCATCGAGCCACGTATAGGTAGAGCACCCATAATCCTCTACCTAATCCATGGGCGCCCTCCACCTTTGCCCCCCAGCCTCCACTCTTCCCCTCTGGGCAGCCTCGATCTTTTTTGAATCAACATAAATTTTCTGTAGAATTTGAAACCACAATCCTTGGTTCAGATGCGCCCTGCAGCACAGGTGTACGTGGCGCCAGAGCGCGCTCGCCAGCTCACCTTTCAAGGACACCCAGTAGTGTTTCCACTTCCTGCGGGTGGCCGACTCCACCTTCTTATTCTTCTTGTGCACCAGGAAGTTCTTGACCGCCAGGGCCCCCGCCTTGCGCACTGTGCCCTGTGCGGCAGTGAGCAGGATGTCCGACTGGCCAGGCGAGCTCAGGGTGCCGCTGCTCTGCTCGTCGCTGTGCGCGGAGCCAGCCTCCTCCAGGCTCTCGCTGTTGGTGGTGCTCATCTCCAGCTCCCGCCTGAAATTCTCATACACCCCCTGGCGGGCCGCATCCCCGGTGGAGCTACTGCCGCTGTCGCTGCCCACAAAGGCACGGCCGGAGGGGGGCGAGTAGCTGGAGTTGGTGGCATTGGATCGCCTGGACAGGAGGTCTGTGTCGGTGGTGGCTCCTTCGATCCCACTGTCTGCAAACTCACTGCCCTCCCCTGTGTTAACATCCTGGAGAGGGGGAGAGGAGGGAGGTATCAGGTAGAGAAGTAAGCAGGCTGGCAGGGGGGTTTCAGCCAGGGGCAGTGAAGCTGCAGGAGACCCACAGGGCATTGCTGCTCCCAGCCTCTCCTGGAACCATAACTGCTCAACGCCCCTGGAGCCCGCAAAAACCCAGCTGGCCTACAGAGTAGCTCAGGAAACCTCAAGCTGCCCCAGGGAGAATGCCAACAATCCAGAAAGTTCAAGAAATAAAAGAAGCAAGAACAAGTTCAGAGAACTTACCATTGATACGACTTAGCTAATTATTAGCTAATTAAGTAATTGGCAGATTAGCTACTGAGGCTTCCTCCTCCCCCAGACCCCCTACTCATGTGCTGGGAGAGCTCAGCACCCTCACCCTCAGCTGCCAGCCTGGGGCTCTGGAAAGCTCTGCAGGATGACTAGTCAGCTGTTCCAGGGGGTTACAGCGGGTGACAAGGTCTTCACAGCTGATACATTTCTTTAAAATAAAAATTGGTCTGTAATGTGGGGGCCAGAAGGACAGGAGAGTGCAGCCTTGCCAGCTCACTGAGCAAGGCCCCTCTCCCTGGAGCAGAACAGTCCCCACACTGTGCCCAGCCTCCCTCCTGGAGAACAAGCAGCCTCTCTCTCCACATTGTGCTCAGCAAGCCCGTGGGGCCCACAGCTCCAACACCAGAGCTCCAATTACCTTGCCCTTTCAAAGGCAGGATGCTAGGACACCAACTCACTGCCCTTGGGCCAGCCGACAGCTTGGGGCAGCTGCCAGGAGGCTGACGGGTATGGATTCTCAGTTTAAAGCCCTCCCTGGTGGCCTAGGGGTTAAGTCTCAGAGTTATCACCACTGTGGCCTGAGTTCGATCCCCGCAGCCAGGGAGCTACCCACATGGTGCAGCGGACCTCTCCTGTCTCGCCCTCTGCTCCTCTCAGCAGTGTATTTCAGTAGATCCGCCTGTTCTGCTCCCCACTCTTTCTGGTGAATCCTCTCAACCCCTGCACCTCTGTCCTACACCCCAGTTCTTCTACACAAAAATAAATAAATAAACCTTAAAAAATTAAATTAAATTAAAAAATAAAGCCATTCAGAACAGGCCCATTCGTGAGAGCCCCAGCTCTGAAGATGAACATTTCCAGGACACCGACAGGTCTGTTCTTAAATCAGAATCTTAATTACTCTCAAGTGCTACCAGCCGGTCCACAAACAATAATTAAATGATGGCAGGCATCACAGGAGGGTAATAACAGTGATACTGGACAGCGCAGCCCGACGGTGTTATGGAGAAGAAATCAGACTGGTTTTTCTCCAAGGAAGAGCATGGGAATGAGTACCAGCCTGACACAGGAGCAAAGCGTTATGTGGTCTGGCGGTTTCACTCCTTTGGGCCTTTCGTCTCATAAATAGCTACTGCTGGTTCAAAGAGATTTAAAAAACAGAGTATTCTGGATTGCCAGGAAAATGCATGCTTTGGGGGCCACTCTTTGCTGAGAGGCAATGCGGGATAGACGTAACCACACAGATGGTGCCTGTATGTCCACACCCACTGCACCCTTTCACTTCTTAGTGGAATATCTGAGGGCCTCCCCGGTGGCACAGTGGTTGAGCGCTGGGTTACAAAGCTGCCCGCAGCCTCTGCAGCGCCAGTTCGATCTCCGGCTGCTCCCCGGCCACCGGAGGAGGGTCCCGCATGGCGCGCAGACCTCTCCTGCCGCCCGCTGCTCCCCTCAGCAGTGTACTTCGGTCCTTCTGCCTGCTCTGCTCCCCGCTCTGGCTCTGGTGAATTCTCTCACCCTCCCGGCTTCTGACTGTACCCAGTGCTTGTATAAATAAATGAATGAATGAATCAATCAATCAATCAATCTTTTTTAAAAAAAAAAATCTGCACTACTTATAAAAAAAAAGTTGAACCTGGCATTCCCTGGTGGCGCAAGGGGTTCACACGCAAGCTAGAAAGCTTTCCACAGCCATTGCAGCGCGAGTTTGATCTCCAGCCAGGGAGCAACACACATGGCGCAGCAGACCTCTCTTGCATCACCTGCTGCTCCCCTCACAGTATATTTCATTCAGTCTGCCTTTCTACTCCCCACTCTGTCTGCAGTGAATCCTCTCACCCCTGCACCTCTGGCCTGTACCCCGGTTCTTATATGCATAAATAAATAAATCTTTAAAAAAAAAGTTGAACCTGTAGATTGGTAGCTGCGAGAGCTGGGGGGAGCAGGATGGTGAGAAATGGGGAGATGCTGATGAAAGGTCCAGACTTCCAGTCCTAAGAGGAAAAGTTCTGGGGGGCTGGCCAGCATGGTGACTATTGGTGATAACACTGCGTTGTACGCTTGAAATTTGCTAAGAAAGTAGGTTTTAAGGGTTCTCACCACAAAAAAAGGGTAATTACATGAGGTGGTGGAGGTGTTAATTAAGTTGAGTGTGGCAATCATTTCACAATGTACACATATATTAAATCATCACGCCGAGGCCCTTTATCATAGAAAAACAAAGCGTGCAAAATGAAGGGGGGAGGGGACTAGATCCTTTTACTGGAGAAGCCCAGCGAAGGCCAGCACAGGCAGGGGCTCCAGGCTCATGGGGTGTGGGGTGTACGGAAACCTCCCTATTGTCTTTGCAACTTTTCTATAATTCTAAAGCTGTTCTCAAATGAAAAGTAGTTTAAAAAGAAAAAAGAAATGAGGGGGAGTTAAAGGGGAAAGTCACAGGAGGGAGTCAAGAAAGCTTGACTACCTTGGGGGCCAGGGGGTTTTAAGGGGACAAAGTTGCCATGGATGCAGCTTAGATGCAGACCCGCCAGGGGTACTAGTCCCAGCACCCAGCTCTGCCCTGTCCTGCCCATTAGTTGCTATAGATGGTCATGAAGGGCCCGGATCCAGAAGGCAAAAACCCGCTGCACACTGCCATAGAGCCACACAAATGTCCCCTGGCGGGGACATTTAGCACTTGCCTCCTTGTCTGCAAGACAGTAAGTCAATACAACCATCACGGATTCTTGAAAACCATCATGAGTCGTGGGAGATGAGCAGTTTGTCAATTTGCTTCAGTTCTTTTCTGTAAGAAGGGAAGGACTCAGGGCCTCCCCTGGTGGCGGAGCGGTTGAGCGCTGGCCTGCGAAGCTGCCCGCAGCCTCTGCAACGCGGGTTCGATCCCCGGCCACCGGCGAGGGTCCCACATGGCGCGCAGACCTCTCCTGCCATGCCCGCTGCTCCCCTCAGCAGTGTACTTTGTCCATCTGCCTGTTCTGTTCCCCGCTCTGGTTCTGGTGAATTCTCTTACCCTCTCGCGCTTCTGACTGTACCCAGTGCTTGTATAAATAAATAAATAAATCTTTAAAAAAAAAAAAAAAAGGGAAGGACTCAGCTGTGAACTCTCCTCTCATAGGCAGGAGGGGAGAGGCTTCGAGATGAGACAAGGAAGGACAAGCTACACAGGTAGTCTGCCCGGGGCCATAACAGAAAGACCTTGGAACGAGGGAGGAGCACATCAGTCCCAGGAGTCTTGTACTTCCCGCAGCTCTAGAACAGGAGGAAGTAAGCAAGCTGTCGCCTTTGAGTAGGTTAATAGTAACAGATGAGGATGCTGGGGCTCAGAGGTCACAAACTTTGCTTCCAAACAAATCTCCCACTTTTACATGGCCACCCCATTGTTCAGCTGTAGGAAGCATCTACAACTGTAGGAAGCACATCCCAAGAGTCACCTCCATGTCTTCCCTTCGTTGGTCAACAGTGCCCCTTCTAGATTTTCCCAATGACGTTTCATTGATTTCCCTTGACTTACCCTGCAGAGTTCAAACCTGAAAGAGGATGAGGATCACTGAGGCAGAGACGGGACAGGCGCCCCCCTAACAGCATGACGTTCCCACCAATTCCTCACCCATCCCTTGAGAGAATGTCCTAACCTCTCCTCCACTAAGACAGAATTAAGACCTCTATAGACACTCACCTCTCTGTCAGGCCTGAACATCTGCACATGCCAACCAGCACTGTCACCTTGCAAGGGCCCAGGCTGTGTGTGTTCAACTCTGGGGTCACCACTGAAGTGAGCAAAGAGCTCCAGGTGAGAGGTCTGTGGGCCCCAGCTGAGCTTGCATACTTTGAGGAACACAACCCTAGTGTAACCGCTTGGGAATGCTCTAGATCTAGTCTCCACAAGTGGTTAAGCAAGCTCTGGGGCAATATGCCCCCACTGATATGTGACCCAGCCTGTTGGGAAGCAGAGGCTGCCAGGACCCAGCCCATTGGCTCATGATGCCTGGGATGCCCAGAATACCCAGATGCCCATGATCCGGCATCATGGGAAAGATGACTACCCAGCAGAGGCACTACTAGACACCTGACTGTCCCCTACAGACCAGCCACCTCCAACTGTATTGGGGAAAGAGTGATCGAGCAGAGGGCTGCACCAACCAGAAGTCTAAGGGCCATGCAAGGAACACACATTTCTAGGTTTTAGAATCTCCAGCACAAGCCAAAGTTTGTGATGTAGAGGCTGTGGGTTCCCATTTTGAAAGAGCCAATGATCCCTCGGAAGCTGCATCCCAAACGCCCGTCACACCCAGAGACCAGAATGCATTTGCTCAGATGTGGGTTCCCATGGCTCAGAAGGCAGGCCGCATCTCACAAGATGGCGGTCATCTATCTGGAAGGGCTCCTCCCACCCATCCATCTCCATCTCCAGGATACATCACTCCAAAGCTCATTCGCCCCATGCTCCAAAGCCCCTGAGACCTTCTTCAGCCTTCCCAGCAGCAAGGGACACTGAAGGACATTCTCAGGGAAGAGTCCCAAAGGAAGCTCAACCATTTTGGTGGCAAAGGCAAGGTTTGCTCCTTCGTAACTCATCATGTGAGCATCTGATGGGCCCTAGAATATTTAACCAAGTATTGAATTTTCACCCATCACTCAAGGGAGAGCAACAGATAACAGTAAGACCCTAACTAGACAGAGGAAACAAATCCCAACATCAGCATGATCTGAAAACAGCTCAA